ATTATGAACTTGTAACACAATACAGCAAAAGTATCTAAATAGAGAAGATACAGCCGATATCTTATAGAGAAAAATGAATACTTGCAAAGTAAAATGAAATGAAATTATTCAAATTATAGTACAGAACGATAGACTCAGACTTTTATACATAACACTTCTTACCGAACGCCATTTTGGTACCATTCAAATTGAAATTTACAGCCACGATCTTATAGATAGAAATGAATACTTGCAAAGTAAAATGTAATTTTTTATTGTTGGAAATGGGTTAATAAATGGAATTTTTTTATTTTAGATTTTACATAAACTTTATTCTATTAGAGTTGAAGATAAATCTCTCATCTGAACCACTGTACTTTGAAATAAATGTAATACTGTATGTTATCACTTCGATTTACGAATGATTTCATTATGTGGTAAGTTAGTTCCTTTCCTGACTATCCGAAAAGAAAGGTCTTCCTGTAGAAGATGGAAGTGGAGTGGTGGTTCGTGGAGGCCTAGGCGTCTTCGAGGGTTTTGGAGGCTTAGGCGTCTTCGAGGGTTTTGGAGGCTTAGGCGTCGTCGAGGGTCTGGGCCCAGACGACGTATGATGATCCTTATTCCAGTCACACTGCTTGCTTACAGGATCAAAAACAAGATTCTCAGGACATCTCATTAACACTGGTATATCTCCATTGCACAGATAAAATGAGCCACAGTCGTTTGGATTCCTGAGTAATACGATCTCGCCTGCTTGGATGTAGGATGGGCAGGTCACTGTAGCCAGATTATCATTCAAGAATTCTTGGATAGAGAGTAAATGGGTAGAGGAAGATGGTTCGTCTGTAGGACGTGGTGATGTTGGTGATGGTGTAGGGCGTGGTGGTTTTGGTGATCCTGTAGGATGTGGTGGTCTTGGTGATCCTGTAGGGCGTGGTGGTCTTGGTGATCCTGTAGGATGTGGTGGTCTTGGTGATCCTGTAGGTCGTGGTGGTCTCGAAGAATGATGACGCAGCTCCTCAAACAGTTTTGGAGAAGCAGTTGGATCTTTGGTTGGCGTGCTTGGCGGCGAAGTGGTGGAAGGTGGAGGAGGCCTGCAACTTAAATCTCCTCGAGCGCAAACTCTCTCCGTGGAATTGTAGATAAGTCCGTCTGGGCAGTGCATCAGCCATGGGTAGCCATAGTTGCAAGAATAGTATGTTGTGCAGTCATCAGGGTTTGGAAACAGAGTAACATCTTCGTCGTTCTGATCCGGGCATTTAGGAGGAGGGGTAGCCCATACAACGGTCACAATTATGACCAGTATCACAATTATGGTGAAAAACAAATTGGATATTGCTAGAAGGAACGTGATTTACAATATTAATCAAATCGATCTTACAACTCTTCAGGAATACATAATATACTGCGCCTCCGATTTAAATGAGACTTCGAGATGTTTTAAAGAATTCCGAAATTATTAATAATTCGATCGTAAGAAGACCACATTTTTAAAAATATAAACATACCTCTCATATTCGAACGTGTTACTCAACTTATTCTATACTGTCTAACACTAATC